AATATGCTTGCAATTAATATCACAAAATAATATATGTAATATTTACATAGATATTGCATTATTAAATATATAATTTAAAATTAATAATATACTATAAAAGTTATTTAAGTTGTATATATTGCAAACAAATATATTAGAACAAGTAGTCATTGTTATATTTAATAAGACTCCTTGCTTTTTCATTAAGAGATTCAATTTTCATTATTATTTTTGTGATTTATGGTCCCTTAAAAAAATTTAAAAAAAAAAAAAAAAAAAAAGTGGTTGAACCGGTTTGACCCACCGGTTCACCGGTTGAACCAGAAAATTGACCGGTTCAATCCGATTTGAAACGAGTCGACTGCATAACTGATCTAACTTCAGATTCGAACCGGCTGGACCACCGGTTCCCGGTCCAACCGGTCCGACCAGCCGATCGGTCCGGGTTTTAAAACACTAATACATCTATGACCAATTAATGTTAATTAATACTCCATCAACTTACATTAACTAATTCAAACAAAGTTGCCCTAACAATTTAAATGTGCTGCCACTATGACTCTGCGTCCTTTTAGTCAAATACCACTAAAATAAGAGCACATGAAAAGTTTAAAAGGAAGAGGTGGAAAGCATAAATGAATTTCGAGAGAGATCAAGAACCAAAAAAAAAGAGGATATTTTTTTTATAGCATTATATAAAGAAATTATAATTTAGCTCCTTTAATATTTATTGCATTATACAAAAGATATATTTCTTTTATAAGTATTTTTTACTTTCATTTTAATATGAACTTTTTTGTCTTGCTTCCTTATTTATTTTTTCTAATTTCTTAGAAACCACCTTTTCTGACGTCATTTTTTTTATTTTATAATTTACACATTATTTTTAATTTATTTTATTATAAGATTATTTATAAATAATTGTTAATAAAAATAATTAAATTTTTAATATAGATATGAAGTGTCATTTTTCTTGCTATAAACAAGGAGTGCAACTATGAAATGTAGACAAATTATACTAATAATTAGATCATGTATTTAATAATGTATTTAATAACATGTACTATTTTAATTATAATAAATTATTTTGTTACAAGTTTTCATTCATAAATTTTACATATGATATCATTGCGTGCCTTGTTTTTGCAATAGGTGGAAAATGAACAGAGGAAAAACTGTTGTACCTGATTTCTCGACTACGGTCCGCGAGTTCACCAAATGGATTGATGACATGGACTTTCGTTTATTGACTGCCATGCTTGACGAGGCTAGGTTGGGCAATCGGGTTGATGGTAGTTGGACAACCCAAGCATACAATAATATTGTTGAAGCCCTCCGACAAACTGGATTAACGGGTATCACGAAAAATAATGTTAAAAATAGACAAAAAAGTCTGAAGGATAGATGGCGGGAGGTTCACGACTTGTTTAGTGGACTTAGTGGATTTGCGTGGGATGAGTCCATGAAACGGTTTACAACTGAGCCTGAAGTATGGCATGAGCTGCTGCAGGTAATGTTTTAACATTCGGGATTTATTGAATTAGTGAAACATAGTAATTATGGGTGATAATCATGTTTTTATTTGCAGGCGAAGCCAGCTGCAGCTAAATGGAGAGTGTCTTCCATTAGGTACTATGACTTGATGGAAGAATTATGGGGAGTTGATCGGGCGACAGGCCATATGGCTAGGACTGCACGACAAGCCCGTAGAAATATCGGTATGCCAAGTGTAACGGTCGACTTGAACGATGATGTCGATAACATACCACAGGACGACCCTTTTCAGGCAGGGTTTGATATAGCATATCGGTCGCCACCACACTATGGTTCCTATAGTCCTGTTGATGGTACTTAGTCAGTGTCATCTGCTGCATCTGGTGGTACTACTGGAACATCATCATCTCGAGACACAAAAAGAAAAGCCCCAATGATTGATGTGATGGATGCACAATTTGACAGGCTAACTACGAGGCTCGATGCATTTACAGATTACTTAATGCATTGACGCAAAGATTATCTGATATTGTTGAACGACAAGTGGTTGCCATTGAACGAAGAAACGAAATAATTAATGAGCAAGTTAATATCTTGAGGCAAACATCAACAGTTCAATATTCAGAATCAAATATTTGGGACATGTTAGCCGCTATGAACTTGCAAAACGAGCAAGTTATGGTTCAGTGTTATGATTTTTTGTGTAATAATCCATCACATGTTAGGCGACTTTTTGGCTTACCCCCACATCTCCGCCTCAACCAATTGTTAAAGTTCATGGGTCAAAGTGGTTGATTTGTGGTTCTTAGTTATTGTATTTTTTTATGCATTATAAGTAATGTTTTACTAATGATTTAAACATTGTAAAGTTGACCATAATGTTATAAAAGTATTTATTAATGGTCAAAGATACATTTTAATGTTATTACTTGCAATTATGTTTTATGAAATATGTCTTATGTTTAACATCATATTTGTTATTGGTTATTTTATATATAATTTTCAGGTATGACATCCGGTTCAAGAAAAAAAAGTTCAAAAGAAAGCAAAGGAAAAACTCCTGCCACCTCGAACAGAGCAGCTGGTCCTAGATTACCACAAATTGAAGAAGTTCTAAATCAGACACGTTTTTTCAGCCAGCGTGATCAGATGATTAAATATGGCAAGGAGTTTTACCACAGGATAGTCCTTCATCCAAAGGTTATGGACTTTAGCTACTTTGCCATATCACGGCTGTATTTTCACCACCATTTAGAATATCAAGGTTTGCAGCATTTTGTGGCTCTCAAATGTGATTTCTTTGAAGATCTTATTAAGGTCTTCTATTCCAACTTGAGAGTATCTGAAGCTGGTTTCCTCTATAGTGACGTCAACAAAACAAAAATAAAAATAAAACCATCTGATTGGTTATCTCTGGTTGGTTTGAAGTATCAGGGGCACAAATTAGCATTTCCAAACATCCCAGAGGAGATGCAGTTCGACCGTCACATAGCACTCACATCTATGATTAGACCAGAGCTGCAGGGCCGAAATGTCAGAAATGTAGGAAGTCTTAACATTAACGACAGACTCCTACATTATGTCTACGTCCATATATTGGCTCCCAGATCAAGTAACTTTTCCCAACTCTTGCATGAAGACATTTTTCTATTATAGGCCTTAAAGAATAACATTTTGATCAACTGGCCCCATTATATCATGCAACACATGGTCAAATGCAAGGACAATGGGATGCCTCTTCCATATCCCATTTTAATTTCACACATTTTGGCTGCTTATGGCGTAGACTTAGGAATTGATGTTGCAGTCGAATTAGGGTGGGCACCTTTTTTTAATAAAAATACCTTGAAAAAATTAAATGTCGTGAATGTCAACGGGGTATGGATACATGACAGAGATAATCATCAACATGGCCAAAATATTGAAGATGAAGACCATGCAATGCCTGAGGACCATGGTGAGGAGCAGCCTGCTGACATCACACAACAACCTCCAGTCCAGTATGATAGTCAAATGTTTTCCCAAATATTGACTGGCATTCAAGGGTTACAAGAAGGATTAAATAATTTGACTATCAATGTTAATCAAATACATAACAGGCTTGATACCCTTGAACATAAATTTGATGACTTTCAGAGTTCATTTGAATAAACTACATTATCTTATTTTTTTTATTATTGTAATTTAAATATGTTTTATTTAGTTGCAACATTTTTCTTTTCTATTCTTTTATGTCATATTTAATTATTGTTTACTTAATTGATGACTGAAGTGTATTTTCTGTTCTATTTTACAAATATGTTATTACCCATCTACTTTGTAATGTTATAAATTTTTTAATTTTTTAATTCATAAAAATTGACTTGTACAATTAACAAATGTATCTTCATTTGATTGTAATTTATGTTAATGATTTATCAATTTTTTTAATTTATTAATTAACTTTCAAAAATTTTATTATACATTTTTTTTATATTAACAAATTTCTATTATTTAAATATTAACATCAAAAAAGTGGAAATATAAAAAAATAAAGTAATACATGTTTATAAAATTAAAATAATAACACTTTCATAAACATTAATAAAATAATGTTACAAAATATAATTATCATAATATATTTTGTTATTATTATTTATTATTATAAATATTATTATTTTCATTTTTATTAATATTAATATTATTATTTATTATAATTAGTATCATTATTATTTATTATGATTCTTATTATTTTTCTAATATTTATTATTATTCTTATCATTATTTATTATTTTTTTAATTAATTTTTTATTATTTTTTAGTTAAAATTTATATATTTATCTTTTAATTATAATAATTATAAACTTTTTTTTAACCTAAGGGCAAAATAGTCATCTTTCACAATTATCAATTAAAAAATTTATTTTTATCTATCACATCAATCAATTCATTCACAAACTTTCACAAACTTTCTCTACACTTTCCATTCACTTTCCCTTAATCCAAACAACCTCACTTTCCACTCACTTTCCCTTTAAATCCCTCATTTTTCACTCCCCCTTTTCCATCTTTAAATCCAAACAAACCCTTAGTCTTTTATATTATATTCCATCTTATAATACACTAACAATCAAAAGTTAAAATTCATACTCTTGAATACTTAAGATCACTTCTTAACTTGTGGAATGATTCTGTGTAATCTATTATCCTAAAAAGACCAAAAAACCAAATTTAGAAAGAGAATCATATATACCACTATATCTTGAGAAAAATTACAATAATTTTTGTAAGTACTACACTCTTTGTATAATGTATAAAATAACAGTAATAATAATAATACTATAACATGCAAAGTTACTTGTGTAAAAAAAAAATACTCAATTATATGTTGAAATTAGTAAATCCAATCTCTGCCTTAAATTAAAAAAAGAAAATACAAACGTGTAGTAATAAGATAATAATTATGACAATTTTAAGAATGAGAAGAGGGTTTTAGAAGTCATTTACCTTTTATGCATCCTTTGAAGAACTATAAAGGCACTTGTTCTGTGCATGCACTCATACCATACCACAAACAGAGTCAGTGAACAATGGAAACCCTAGACTCAGCACTATCAACTCCTTCGAGAACCACCGATTCTAAGCCTCAAACCTCATCTCCATTGCCGCCATCGGTGCTCAGGCAATGGAGGCCAAAGGCGCAACGGAATCTGAGGAACCAGTGGTCGCAATTGGCGTCGTGCAAGAATCGCTGGTCCTCTGCTTCTTCCGCTGGAAGATCTCACGCAACTGCTCTTGTCAATTCTCATCTTTCCCAAAGGTATTAATCCGCTACGTTCCATTAATATCTGTTTTTACATTGTCGATTTCGCATTCAAAGCTAGAATCATAGAAACCACGTGATTCTAATTGAATTTGGATTTTTTTTTTCTGGGGTGGAATTTATAGCGTGTTTGTATCTGTTTTTTTTTTTTTTTTTTTTTTTTTTTTTTTTTTTTTGTAGTTATTCAGAAGTTGTTTATATTGTGTGTGGCTTGTAAGTGCCTGTGGTTATGCTTTTGTTGTTTCGTAATTGATGTAGGTACATGCCTGATATGAAATTAGGTGTTCTGAGCGACATGCCTGGCATAAGAAAGCAAGCTTGTTTGAAACTATTTAAGCGGCAGGTATTGTTGATTTTTGTTTTGCTTCTATTTGTCCTTCAACTTTTACTGATCTTGCTCAACACTATTATTTTATTTTGGGCTGGATTTAAGTGAATTTTTGTTTTAGGTTTTTATACGTTAAGCTTTTTAGCTAGCTATTCTGAATATCATACGATGACATCAACCTGCATTTCGTAATTCACTTTATGAGGGATAAAAAAAAAGCAATGCATGCCCTTGGGTTTGGCTAGAGAGGTTATTGGTTTAATTCCTGATGTATTAAAAGATAAAAGAAACATTTTGCATCGAAATACTAAGCAAGGTGAATTGTATATGCTATACACTGGGATATTTCTCTACCACCCTGTCATGCGTGTTTTACTTGGAAAGGAAAGAAGTAACTGTACTATAATGAATGCCAGATTTTGGCTGTATACTGTTTGTTGCTGATGAAGCTGGCAAGTGTAGGGTTGATGAGTCATTGCTGGTAGTGGATGAACACTTTTCAATAAATTATCATTAGTTTTCAAAACATTTTTTTTATGATTTTAGAAATTATTTTGTCCATGTTTTATTTGAAGCAATTCCCATTTTGTTTTTGGCAAATTTGTCAAGGGCATATCATTGTTTATTGCAAAAAGTTTATTTCCTATACTTTTCTGTAACTTCCATTTGGTATTCGATACACACCATAACTGGCAAGAATTAGTTTGCATGGTAGCTTTATATAATTTAATGTAAGTCATATCTAGTCTAATTTTGATATGAACTTTGGCATCATATGTAGGTAACTTGGCTGTGGCTTCTCTTCATGATCAAATACTTTTGCTTATAAACATTAACATAGGCTCTAGTCTAGTGCATACATTTGTATTTAATTACAGGTAATCAGAAATAATCCAAAAATAAGCATGATAAAATGATTAGTTAGTTGGAGTGCTTCTTAAATAAGTTTCTCTAGATCGAGAAGGTGAACCTCTATTTGCTTTTATATTGCTGCTTCTTGTGTGATTCTGAATGGTGAACCTGACTGTGGTTTAACGTTAGAGAAATCTAGGCAACGACATCCATATTACTGCTCTTGTTTGCTATATTTGTTGATGTGCTTAATCAGATGCCATCAGGTATTCAATTCATTGATGTTTTCAAAATTAAAATTATGTAGAAATGTGTGGTGGGCTTACTTATTTGGATAGATAAGAAACAATACTACTTTTCAGGATCCTGGTACTAAATGTCTCCTAGTGTTTGAATAGTTGGAAGTATGCTTTTTTCCTCATTATGTGATTACATTACTGCATTCAAGCATGTTTGTCCATCATTTTCATTTTCTACCTCTCTTTTTATATCCCAGCTTGTGTGGTTTAAGTTGACTAAGATTCTAAGGCAATTTGGGGGTCTTGGAAATTGGTGGCCAAAAACACTGTTTTGGCTGATATGCTTAATCATCAAGAATTAAACCTATGACCTCTCTAGCTGAACCAAAGGGCATGCAGTGCTTTGTTTTCCCTGATAAAAGTGAATTATGAAATGCAGTTTGATGTCTTCAAGGGGTATCCAGAATAGCTAGCTTTAAGAAATAATATTCAGGTATGGTTTTGCTAGAATGGGTGGGATGTTAACTTTGTGATTATCACTACTCATGCAATTTAAGTCCCTGATTTTATTTCTTAGGTATGCAGTCTATTTAGACAACAGTTTATCTGAGTCTAGGTGAAGATTCTTATAGTATGTTTTTGAGGATATTTGGGTGGGAAAATTGCTCTCTTATAGGCTTTCCTACTTCTCTAGAATGTTTCTCTATCCATAATTTCTATCAATGAAGGGTATGATTTTTCTCAGCCTAACAAAAAGAGAGCGATGACTTAGAATTCTTTCTGCTTTCACTGTAATTTCTATTCAGGTGGATACTTTATTATCTTGTTAGTCTTATTATTCTCTTCTATAAAAAAAATTCATCTTTTATTGAAAAATTAAACCTTAAAGTATATTGCATCATTTTAATATCTCTTGCTATGGTTACTGTACCTGTTTCAGGAACTGCAAAGGAGTAAATTATTGCTGTCTTATAAGGACATGGTATGTCATATCCATGTTGTTTCATTCAAACTTGAACCATTGATACATTTGTTCTAGCAAAGAAATGTAATGAGCATACATTTGTATTTAATTGCATCAGCTGCCTGCTCATTTGAAATTTTGTTGTTGATGCCATATAATATTATATTCAATGACTTCCAAATTTTTGTTCAATTGAGAGGCAAAACACACATGCATGCTCGCACATACAGACATTCAAAATTCTAGTGCTCCTTCTAACTACTTTTTGATGGAAAATGGAAATTTTCAATCTGAAAGAGAATTATTGCTGGAAAATATAACTGTCACGTACTAATACTTGGTGGATGCAATTGTTACTCAGTACTGATAACATTTATGTATTTGTTTTAATATTTATGCAACTTTAGGTGGGCATTATAAGTGACATGATCAATCTTAGCAGATCAATGAAGTGTTTTCTCAAAGTACCAAACAATAGTCCACTGTTACAATTTTCTTATAACTCTGTGGACCAGAGTGATTTTGGAGATGGTGGTGATGGTGGTGGAATTCCAGTATTTGCATTTTATTCAATCACTTCACATGGTATGACAATATTATCTAATTAACATATTGCATTGATCATTTATGCAGTTACCCAGTTCTTCAGATGATTTGCTAGTTGTTTTCCCCATTTCCTTCAGTTATTTATGCGCATATTTTCACTTAATAAAGTAACACTTCCAAAGTTCCTATCAGCTAGGAATAGGTATTCATTATAGAAACTTTTAATCATTTGGAGGTATTAATGTTTTCCTTTAGAATTTTATATGGTTACTTACAGAAGATTGAGTTTATGGTATATTTTCAACAGAAACTGTTTTTCACAATTTTCCCCTTTAAGTTCGATAAAGATTGTAAATAATCCAATAAAGAGACATAGTAATTTACTGAATACATTCATGTTTATTTCTGGTAGAGTTGTCAGGTCTTAAATCTACTATACATAGTTAGACAATCATTGAGGCTTTAAGTTTTGGTTAGCCCAAATATTATAGATTTTTTTGAAATTGTTTCAAGAGAAGCATACATGAAATTAAGAGTACACTTGAAATCATGAGAAGTTTCACCAGAAGTGTCATGCTAAATCAGAAAATAATATTTGATGATAACAGCGCTCCTTCCACTTAGAAATCAGTGTGTATCATTAATTTCCTTTCATATAACTAAAACATGTGGAAAAGTATGGGTGTAAGGGGGTAACAACTCACTGGCAAAGCTGACCTACCAGAACCAACCACAATTATATTTGTGGGTTGGGTAATGGATTAAGAAGTTTGCCACCTGAATCAACCTGACGTATAATAAATTAGTGAATAAAATTGAAAATGTTACACACATAACACAACACAACGCATAATACACTCTGCATATATTTAATTCTACTCTTTTTTTTTACCAAATATTGTAGTAATGAGTTGATCAGCTAAATTGAAGAAGACAAAGAGCAAGAAGAATAATTTAATTTTACTTGTTATGTAATTCAAAATTTGGTAATTAGTGACATAATGTTTGCTTGTTTGGGATATTTGTTATTTCTCATGTATAATTATTGTAATATTGTTTGTATTTTGAATCATGTACTAGAATTTGAATTAAGTTTTTTTTCTCCTGTTTTTCATTTGTTTCAATTTTTTAAAATATATTTATTTTTAATTGCTCAACTTGATAACCCGACTTGACCTAACTCTAACCCAATTATAGTTGGATTGGGTCACTCTAAAAAAGTTCACAAATCCAATCTGACTAAATTTAATTAGGTTGGGTGTTAAAATAGTCTAAACCTGACCTGATCTATTTACACCCCTACAGAAAAGTGGGAAACAACAGTGCTATACATTAAGTGACATATTATTAATGTAAGTTATGCTAAAGTATCGTGTTTTGAAATCAGAGAAATTTGCTGAGGAGCTGGTTGAGATGTTTAGCTTGGAACTATGTTTGAAGGTGAATTGCAATTTTTGCAAAAAAAAATTCTATTTTATATTTGATTCCTAACTTTTGTCTTACCGAGGAATTTATTTCAAAATGAGCAGCGATTACTTGTTCTTGAATTTATGTCCATTGGTTATGAAACTTCAGAAGTAAAACAGTTGCATTGGTCAACTCAGCTTTATGACGATGAATTCAAAGATTTGAGAGACTGCAATCTGTACTGTGAGGTGACTAATGGGCCAATTCCACCAAGATTGAGGGATGGGAGATCTGACATTGGTGCTTTAAGATTTGACAACCAACCCGACCCTGAGGTTTTACAGGTGATGTATTTAATACCACATTTTCTCTTGAATTCATTGTGAAACGCCCATATTTGACGTTTAAAATATAATGTTGATATATTAGCTATCAATTTTACACTCTGAAACTACACTACAAAGTGATAAGAGTTTGGTGTGGTTTTTATCACTTTCAATATAACATCATTGGTAGGAAATCCTATCAGTAGTATTGTATTTAGTAAATTGAGAGAGAAATATAGAAAGAGCAGAAGCTCCTAAGCCAGAGACGCACTCAGCTCCAATAGATTCCCAAAATGCAAATCTAATGCCCTACTCCGTATTCCCCTCTATAACCACCCCACTTTCTCTCTGCTGTTTGTTATCATTCTCTCCCAAGGCTAGAGCTACTAATTGCTCTGGGACTCATTTACAACTTTGGGTTTTCTCCTAATGAAGATTATTAGTGGCTTCTTTCTTAAGGACCCTTTTTGGGTACTGTTTGGCTCTTTAGCAACTGCCTTATCCTCATGGCTGAAGGATTGAAACTGGCCTCATAGTACTTGTTGCCTCCCATGTTGCCTCTTCCACAAAATAAGCCTTTCCTCTATCTGCTGCCCATACTTGGAGGTATCTCTACTTGCTAGGACTCCTTCTGGTTCCACTGAAACAGAATCTTCAACTTCCAGCCCTACTGGTAATTTAGCTTCTTAAGATTTGATGTCATGTGCTTGTTCAAGCTACGATATGAAAAATGCTGGATGGATTTAGCTGTATTAGGCAATTGGAGCTTGTAAAAACCACACCTACTTTGAGTTGGCGCAGCCAACTAAACTTGCGCATGTGCAACTCACTCCAGCATCGTTTTACCAACTAAATGATGTGTTCAAAAAAGGTAAATTGAATTGTGTAAAAAGTGAACTGAACTGGAAAAACAATTCGCTTGAACTAAGCTGAAAAACAATTTTGGTGAACTGAATTGTCTTTTGGTTCGACAAATTGTTTTCCCAAATTTGAACTAAATTGTAATGTACCCCTAACTAAATTGTTTGAACTGAACCAAACTGATTCTTTTTACACTAATAAAAATAGTTTAGTTTTGGAAATTTGGATTTAGTGGAACTTTTATCCCCCTTTACAGTAGGGGTATCCATAAATTTGGATTTAGGAGAATTTGGAAATTCTGGAAACATCTCCTTCTGGAAATTCCTTAAGGAGAATAAAATCTCATTCACTGATTGAGACCTTTCGGAAACCATGCAAACTTAACCACATCCCAGATAAACACCATAATCACCCTGTAAAATGGGTATGCGTAGATAGTTGATCAACCACCACCATAATCAACCGGTACCTCTGTAATTTTGGAAGACCAAGAATGAAATCCATAGACCTCCCAAATTATCCAAGGGATTGGTGAAGGCTAGGGGTAATCCAGCTAGGGACAATGGTAAATGGTTATTCTTTTGGCACACATCACATTCCTTCAAAAACTGCATAAAATCTGTTTCTACACCCTCTTTCAAAATAAGTAACTCGCAATGTGTGAACTCAATGACTTCCGACTTCCAACAGGTGAGGAATGGAACTATCGTAGTGAAATCAGAATGAGGGATGAGTTCTTGAGAATCACCATAGTACAATTTTTAGAACAACCACCCTCCTTGTTTAATTGCTGGAGTTCCAGGTCCTGTTGTATATCCTTTTATGAGTTTAGCAAAATCAACCCAATAAGTAAGGGTTGAAAGAAATGGCATTCAGGACAATATCTTCCACTGCCCTATTTTCAGGTCCTGGGTTGTAAATAATGTCAAACTATTACCCTATAAGTTTGGAAGCCCAACAATGTTGATCCTGTGAGGTAGCCCGCTGTTGAAGATGTTTAAGGCTTCTATGAGATAGTGTTGCCAATGCTAAATGACCATTATCAAAGGCATAATATCCTTTTAGTGCACAGACTTGAAACAAGAACTTGGTGCTAATGCCTTGCTAAAATAGGTTATAAGATGTTAGAGGCATCACACTCGATGACCATTACCAAAGGCATAAGCATATCCGTAGGGTCAGACACTCAGATTTGGTCCGATTTGAGGACTATGGTGTGGTTATAGCACATATGAGGTGGTCAACTTGAGCAATTACTTATATTTTCCCAAAAAATAAACATTAATTTTGGAAAGCAAGTTTATAAGTGGATTAGGAAGGAATACTGTTGGAAATGGAATTGTCATTTTCTCGCTACTTGGGCCAGTCGGAATAATACATGTTTGGTCTACTATTGCAGGTTTATTTAACAACATGGCTTGCAGAGGTGAACATAGACACTCTAAGGTAAGATTGCAATGAAATTCATACTTTATATATATGTTTATCGGTGTACAAGATATGCCTAATTTGGGGAAGGGTTTTGGGTAATTAGAAGTATGGAGACTTTAAGTTTGATTTCCATTGGGACTATATTTATAATCTTTCATATCTTAAAAAAAAAAACCCTTATTTCCCCACTCCTTTCTCTTAATGATAGAGTGAACGAGATATTTGCAATTGTCGAGGAGGAAATGCATGTTAGCATATGTTAAAACTGCCGTCATCAGGAGTCAAAATGAATGAATAGCCCTTCAAACATCTGTCAAAGCATTGTTAATCTTATCCATACGAAATAGTGGTAAGAGACGTTCGTTGCATACTGTTGCGGTTAAAAATGATAACTGTCGTGTAGATGAGTAGTACAAGTCTCACAACAATAACAAATTCTGGAAAATTTTCATAGGCAAACTTAGCAAAACAGGCATCTGCATGGTACTAACTACTTTTCTATTCCTTCCTTGTTAACTTTAGGGAACTTTCATAATTCTTTTAAGAAAAGAATGACTGATCTTGCTGGATTGACTAACAGACTATTATTTTTTAAATTGGAATGAACTAATAGACAGCAATGTTCAGGGTCGTAATTTGATTCTTGACTTGGATTAATTGAAATCAATGGTTCAAAAATTTATTAAAATAGAAATTGTTTTATAAATGAAGTGTTGACTGAAAATTAACTTGGGCAATGTGATGTAAATGTCAAATTAATGTTATAAAATGTTTAGAAGAGTTCGTTTTAATTATTTATTTTAAAACTTCCCTTTGGATCTCCACTATTTGCTATATAAGTTGATGACAAGTAGCCAAGCTTTATGGTGTTGCTTTCTAAAGATTGTCTTTTACACTACTGTACTATTCGATGGGTACCTGTAGAAAAAGGGTATAAATATGTTGGAGTTGAAGCTATTAAATTTCCTTTTCAATGCCTTTACTATCATGTCAAGGTTGGTCGTTCCAGCTCTCTTTTGGCATCTTCCTTTGGGTGCGCGCAAGTACAAAACATGGTGCAAGATTTTTTACGTGGTAAAGGACGAATGTTGTCATTGTCAAACGAGCTTATTTACGATGGCTGCCATGCAACCTTTAATAACGTATGGGACCAGTTGCATCGACGAGGATCATGGCTTGTGTCAATTCATGTTAGTACATCTGAAGACGTCGACCATTGTAATTTATATATATATATATATATACACGCTTTTTCCAACAATAATAAACGCACTTGTCGGATCGG